CCCCTTTTTCATGCAGAACATGTCCCCAGAAAATAAGTTACGGCTATTAATGATATATGCCTCAGTCCACCCTGAGAAATTTGAACGTGACAAAGCCTCTATGCTAATGCAGGTATAACTAACTACTAACTGCCCATCAAAGTGACATTGAATTCATATAACTCTATGTAACCAAAAATTAGTGAACTCTTCACTTTATGCTAATATTTTTCCTCTCTTTAATCAGTTGGCCAAATTATCTCGTGAGGACATGAAGGCGATAAACAATATGCGATTGCTTGGCGGATCATCCAAAAAGAAGTCAGCTAGTGGCTTCTCGCTGAAGTTCGACGCCCACAAGGTGAGAACGTAAAATAAAATAGTTCCAACAGTTTGAAGATGCAGGTGTTGGGGAAATCGGGTATTTTCCTCTCAAAAACAACTTCACCGTTAACAGTACTTGTGAATAGTACCATATTCTATACACAGTAGACAAACCCAACATAATAACTATTGAATATTGAAAACAAATAAAAAAACACCATAATTTATGACGGAGTCAGCCAAATATTACCTACGTCTCCAAGCACTGTGGACCACTCTATTTACTAAAGAGGAGAAAGATTATAAAATTGGTAGAAATTACAAAAGCCCACAAATTGAAAATCTAAAGAATTTCCTATAAATTTACAAAGGAGAGAACCTCTCAGTTTTTGTGATGCAAAACAATTGAGGGGAGGCATGTATTTATAGCCTCTGCCTCCCCCCTCTTCTACGCGTGAACCAACTGTATACAGATGGGTTCACTTCCTAAAGTCAGCACCGTTTTCGGTGCTCTCTCTTTTCTTCTTCTCCCTCTCTGACATTTTTTTTTAATTTTTAATATAAGTGTGCAGCTCATATTTTTAACAATGAGCCACCCATATTGACTAACAGCAGAGTGATTACTCGAGTAATTAGTCCTAACATTTTAAGCTATTCTTATTTTTTTTTAAAGAAAAACCCGGCGGCAAGGAAGGACCGCACTGGTGAAGAAGAGACATGGCAACTATTTCGATTTTATCCCATGATAGAGGTATGATCTTAATAGTACTATTAATGTGTGTTTCCTTCTATATTAATTTCTTCTGTTTAATTTTTTTATTTTTTGTTAAATATGGACAGGAGCTCATTGAGAATCTTTGCAAAGGTGATTTGCCAAAGAATGACTATTCATGTATGAATGAACCTAGTTCGACCATTAACAAAGAAGACAGTAAGAGAAGCACCACCCAGAGCTCACCAGCACAGACAAGTCAACCGGCCACTGGTCCTCATTCAATGAGGTCGAGGAGGACTGCCAATTGGGCAAAGCCACGCCTTTCTGATGATGCAAATTCAAGGTAATCTTTCACAAAAGAAAAATGAATGATGCTACGGAGCATAACTGGTATCAGCACCACACATTAATAGAGATTATATCCCATGAAACGAGACTCACTTTTTATTAATTACGGCTCTTAAAGCTAGTGATGCGCACAAGTAGTCAAATGCTTTGTGTCACCACTGTGCGGAAATTGTGACTTATTACTATGAGAGTGGGGTGAGCCCGCAGGCTATGGTGCTCAACATGTGGGGCCTACCCTCTGATAAACTTGCATCACCTACCTATATAGTTGGGACCCATAACTATATGATACAACATAATAAATAATTCCCTATTTGTTGTCCCAGTTCACATCTAACTAATATATTCGTGTCTCACCATTTTCATTTTTATATGTACTCATTTAAATTTTAGGATGAGGTGACACAAATATATTGGTTGTATATGCAATAGGATATAAGCCAAAAGTTAGGCGGGATTTGAATTCTCACAATCCCTCTTCTGCAGCCGTTTTGTTGAAGAACCGCCATATCCCACATGTTTCATATGATATAATCTTTTAAAGCTGAAACCTATGATAGTCATTTGGTTTCTACCTTTGGTTGTTCTTATCATAGGGATTAGGTGACTAGTAAACTTGTCGTTTGCAGTGAATCAATTTTGAAGAGTGCTTCTACTGATTTAAAGAAGTTGGGACAACGTATTTTCGTATTTATCATTGGAGGGGCAACTCGATCGGAGGTAGAATTTTTATTTTCTCTACTCAGTTTCCGGTGCTGGTTTGTGAATTTATACTAATGGTTTTGTGTTTTGTAATGTTGTCAGCTACGAGTTTGTCACAAGCTCACAGCAAAATTGAGAAGGGAAGTAATATTGGGTTCTTCTAGTATTGATGACCCTCCCCAGTATATCACAGTAAGTAGATTCGTACATCATATATATATATATATATATATATATATATTTTAATTTTCAAAGCACAAATAACATCTCAAGAAAAGAGTTGTGATAAATTGCATATTTAGCTGCTCATTACTCTTTTTTGTGTTGCAGAAACTGAAGCTACTTTCAGAAAATAATGTATCACTGGATGGCCTCAGAATTTAAAAACTTCTGATGCCATAGCACTGAGACAAGAAATTTACATTGTTATGCATAAGCTTCTCATCACAATCAACTTGAAATTATCGATTTATATTATAAGGCATGAGAATTCCAAATTTTTTAGAGAGTACATTGTTCCTGTAACTAATTAAAGTAAATAGTGAAGTTTCTGAAATCAGCTTCTGGTGTGGATATACATATAGGAATTTCGTATTTTATAGATTGAAATATCATTACCATAATTAGTGAAAGAGGGGAGACTATATGTCATTAATGTTCTTCTATTAATTCTCAATATTTCCGGACTTTGACTATTTCTTCTGTTTTTATAACGCATAGAGAAATTGTTAATTTCTCTTTTTTGTCCTTTTCTTTGTTGTTTTAATTTAGCCTATTCAATATATTGTGATCATTTTTATTCGATTTTCCATTGTACTTAGTCACCAAGTTGTTTTATATTAGCCTGTTGTTGATAAATATGATTAATCAATAACTTTTGGATCATGAAACAGAAAGTTCACAAAAGAAACATTGAAAATCCTTTTACGAAAATAAAGTTCACCTTCCTTGACAGGCATCCCGTCAGCCGATCTGCTTTCATCTTTATTTCTCTTAGCTCGGTCAGCATTTCTTTTCTCGGGCCTTCTTAACCTGGTACATTGTAGCTCTCTTATATTCCTTCCACAAAGCCAACTATACGTTTGGTAAGGAGATTTGTATCCTAATTGAAATCATGGTTCATAGTTTGCTACAGTATTTTCTCTCATAAAAAATACATGTAAATCGAAAATAGTTCTAGCGGAATATACTAGTATATATCCTATGGAGATCCCAATTACAATTTTCTAGTCCAATACCTTTGTATTACATGAGTCTCCTTCTTGCTCGACAAATGTCGGTGGTGATGGTTGTTTCACATTGTTGGTCTCTGCGTTGCACGTTTTGGACAGTGGAAATCCACACAATCCCGGATTTCCTCCGAAGGAGTCGTTGTCAAAAGTATTGAACTGGTTACCGCGAGGTATCGGACCCTCAAATTGGTTGTACGAAAGGTTCGAGAATGCAAGAGATGTTAAATCAGCCAATCCAACAGGAATCTTACCAACAAGCTCGTTAGAACAGAGGTCTAACCATTCAAGGTTGGTCAAATTCCTCAGTGTTGGTGGAATACTACCTCTCAGCATGTTATGAGAAAAGTTGAGGCCCTTGAGTGATTGGAGTCTCCCAATCAACTCGGGAATCTCGCCTGCGAAATTATTGCTTGAGAAATCAATGGTTGTCAAGATATTTTTGGATCTTCACCAGCTCAACATGCAAGCCTTTTATTATTATTATCAGAGAGTCCCCCATAATACTTTTCTCCCATGTAGTGAAATTTGACTTTTTCTGCATTCATCATAGCAACGAAATTCTCAAAGTACTTCGCTGGAAGAGCGCCACTGAAGTTGTTGTGGGAGATATCCATTATTCTCACAACCCAAAGGGAAATCCAGTCTTGGGATTTTCTATAGAACCATAAAATCAGTTAGTTCGTGGAACTAGAACACGCAAGCTTGGATGAGTTTCTAGCCAGTGCAGGAATGTGTCATATAACATGTTTCTCAAACTATTTTGGTGTGCGCAGATTGCGGGGATGGTGCCATACAACTTGTTTTCTCTCAAGTCCAAGACTGGTAGATCAAGCGAAAACTTTAAATCCATGCATAGCAGGATTTTACCGCTAAAATTATTATAAGATAAATCGAGGATTTCTAAGGTTGTGATAGTGCAAATCACGGAAGGGATCTTGTTGGATCTTTAAATCCTTATTCCACATTTCAGAAATCATCATATCAAATTATTAAGAAAATAAGTTAGCACAAATACCTGTCTCCATTGGTGTAGCCTTAATCTCCAGTAGAATTCTCTAAGACAACGAGTACGACAGTTATTGCCTTCCTCAGTTGAATCTCCTTAGTTCCTTAATGGGTTGTTTTCTCTCTATATAGGAAAGAATGAAAACTGCCGAATGATTTGACGTATTGGGAACCATAACCTAAGTTTCTTTATATATTGTCTCATTAGGCTCCCATTAAACCTAATTAGGTCAATATTGGGTATCCACCTATTTAGTCAATATCCAGTTAGGAGACTATTGGGCTCTCCATAATTAGACCACTTAATTAGCCCAATTAATTAAATAGCGTTAATATAATTGTTATAAATATGTGGCCCATAACCATTATTAGGAAATATAATTTCCTAACAATCTCCCACTTAGGCTACATATAATTCCTGACACAATTATATCATACATAAGTCTTTAGGCGCGCAACTGTATGCTATTTATCCTTAGTCTCCACTTAAGGTACAATCTGGTCCATCTCCTATATTAGCATGAGATCATGGCGGCTTTTGTCACTATCAAAATGCAACTAAACCTTTCATAGTCACCATACCAACATATTCAATTACATAGATCGAGTATGGATGAGTGGCATGAAAATTACATGTAATGTGATCTCTAACATGCACATTTCCAATTGGTCATGCTTTATTTTTTATGAGATCAATTTGTAATTTTCAAAACATAATGCAAGATTGTAAACAGAAAATTAACATATTCAGAGGGAAAATCGTAAAACTGTAAATCTATCTCCTTTATTCTGCAGAAAATAAACAAATAAATGTTTATGTTATAAAACATCCAAAATTAAAATCAACTCCCACTAAACCATAGTATCTTCAAATAAAATAACACTCATATGAGCAGTGTGCTTGTGAAAGGCCTTGGGTGTTAACCCCTTTGTTAGCGGATCCACAAGCATGGAGTTTATCCCGATGTGTTCAATCCAAATCTGACCACTCTGAACTCTTTCCAAGAAACTTGATGTCTATATGCTTCGATTTCGTAGAGCTTCTCTTGTTATTAGAATATAACACTGTCGATTTATTGTCACAAAAAATCTTTAGTGGCCTCTCAATATCATTAACCACACGCAGCTCTGTGACAAGGTTTCACAGCCATATCCCATGATTAGATGCCTTATAACAAGCTATGAATTCTGCAGCCATGGTAGAAGAAGCTACGAGTGTCTGCTTGACACTCTACCAAGAAATAGCTCCTCCTACCAACATGTAAACATAACCTGACGTGGATCGCTTACTGTCTTGGCATCCACCAAAATCAGAATCAGAATACCCGATGATCTCTAGTCTGTCTGATCTTTGATAAGTGAGCATGTAATCCTTTGTTCTCTTCAAATAACGCATAACCCGTTTGGCTGCTTTCCAATTATCCACTCCTGGGTTACTTAAATATCTGGCCAATACTCCTACTATAAATACTATGTCGGGACGAGTGCAAACTTGAGCATACATTAGACTTCCTATTGATGATGCTTAAGGAATCTTTTCCATTTCTTTTATCTCAAGTTCATTCTTGGAGCACTGACTGAGACTAAACTTGTCTCCCTTAGCTACGGGCGTATCTCTTGATAAACAATTCTTCATGCCAAATCTATCCAGAACCTTTTTGATATAACCCTTTTGTGATAACCCAAGGATACTTTGAGAGCGATCTCATAGTATATGAATTCCTAATACAAAAGAAGCGCCACCAAGATCTTTCATCTCAAAATTCTTAGTAAGAAATTTCTTAGTTTCGTGCAATAAGCCTATATCGCTGCTAGCAAGTAATATGTCATCAACAAATAAAATCAGGAAGATGAATTTACTCCCACTGAACTTGTGATATACACAATCATCTACCACATTCACCTCAAAACCATAGGAAGTGATAACTTGATGAAATTTATGATACCATTGACGGGAAGCCTGTTTGAGACCATAGATGGACTTCTTTAACTTACAGACCATAGACTTTGAATCTCCAGATACAAAGTTTTCTGGCTGGACCATATAAATCGTCTTATCAATGTCACTATTGAGAAACATTGTCTTAACATCCATCTGATGTAGCTCTAAGTCTAAATGAGCCACAAGTGTCATAACTGTCCTAAAAGAGTCTTTCGAAGAAACCGGAGATAAAGTCTCTTTGTAGTCTATGCCTTCTTTCTAAGTGAATCCTTTGGTGACTAGACGAGCCTTATATCTTTCGATGTTACCTTTCGAATCCCTTTTGGTCTTAAATATCCATTTACAACCTATGATTTTCATTCCTTTAGGCAACTCAACAAGATCCCAAAGTTCATTGTCTTTCATAGATTTCATATCATCCTTCATGGCATCAATCCACTTTTGAGCATTAGAACTTTGTAAGGCTTGTTGGAAGTTGATAGGATCATCTTCTCCTAAGCCTACACCATCTTCATATTTTTAGAGAAAGACGATATAATCATTCGGAATCGCACTTCTCCTTTCTCTAGTGGATCTCCTTAATGGCAGTTCTTGAGGTTGTTGAGTTTGCTCTATAGTTGCTACATGAGGAACCTTATTGTTGTCTTGTTCTGAAGTTGCGTCTTGAACAATGACAGGTATTACAGCCTGGTCATTGACAATAGCAATATTGGAAAGAGAAACCAAAAAAAATGTCAAAGTAACTTAACTAAATTTTGAATAGTAAGTTTGTGTCTAGATAAATAGTACATTCATTCTCCTTTTTATTATTGTGACAAAAATATAAAAAAATAGTAAAAAAATGACTAAATCAAAGAGATAAATAAGCTTTAGGTTAAAAAGTAAAAGAAATAAAGAAATGACTTAGAAAAAAAAAAGGATAAAAATTAAGGTGTATTCATTTTACAATTTAAGTCATAACTTAGAGTTATGATTTGAGTTGTATGTTAGAGAAAAATAGTGTAGTTAAATAGTTAAATTTGAATTTTTATAATAAAAAATAATGTAGTAATAAAATTTGAGTTGTGACTTGAGTTGTAAAATGAATAAGGAAATAAAAGTTAAAAAAATAAAAAATAAAAAAATAAAATCACATAAAGACAAAATAATTTAATGAAAATAGTATTTTTGAGCTCATTTAGTTCGTTAATTCGAATTTTTAATTTAAATTAGAATGTAATTTTATATGAGAATTTTTTATTATAATAAAAAAATTAAATATCATTGTTTCTAAGGCTTCATTCAATTCACAAATTTGAATTTTCAATTCGAGCTTAAATGTGATATTTTTTAAGAGTTTTTTACTGTAGTAGAAAAAATTAAATGTGATATTTTTATAAAATTTTTTACTATAAAAATTTAAAATTAAAAATTTAAATCGGTGAAATGAGCTAGACATAAAAATTACTATAATAAAATTCTAATTTTAAACTTTAATCGATAAAATAAAGTCCTGTCCGGATGAACAGTAGATGCATTCCCACGCTAATTATAGTGATAGATATCCTTCCCAGTTCCCCACATATACTTTTTCGCTTCCCGGAATCCTTCATTCCATTCACCGTCGTTTTCACCGTCATCGTCGCCTTCGTCCCCCGTGCTCCGACCCCTTTCTCAGGTCTTCTCCAGCTTCTAATGGGTCCAGCCATTCCAATTGCGATCTTCTCCGTCGTTCTCGGCGCTTTCCTCGCTATCGTCTTCTTCGGCTGCTACTTCCGCAAGCGAAGATCCGAAGTCCAATCCATTTCCAAACCTGAGCTCCAATCCGATCCCAAAATCCGATCCTCCAAGCCATCTCAGCCGATCACCAAGAAGCACCACTCCAAACCTCATTCGCATGCTTCCGATAAGGTACGGTACCTTTTCCCTTTGTTTGGTTGCCGGTAAAATGAAGGAAAAGAAAGTAAAGTGATTTTTGAGCCGAATCGGGGCGTAATTCATCTCCATTTCTTTCGAATTTTGCTTTTTTCGAGCTATTAAGGGTAGCATCAAAGAATTGAGACTGCTTAGGTTTGACTGTTTGGATTGTTCTTTGGCTGTGCAATGTAGGATCAAAACAAACGGCATCATCCGTTGGATGTGAATACTTTGAAAGGTCATGGAGATTCTGTGACTGGCTTATGCTTCTCCTCAGACGGAAGAAGTCTCGCTACTGGTAATGGTCAATCATATATGTTAAAAGGACTTCCTTTCACTGATAATGTAATCAAATAGATAGAAAAGAGGACGAGAAATCCTCAAAGAATCGAAACAAAGTTAAAGTAAAATAAAGCAGAAAAAGAAATGGAAAATCTTTAAAAACAATCAGAACGTGAATGGTGAATCAGTAATCGTTAATTAGTTTTCTTTTTTTCTTTTTTTGTTCCATGTGTTATTTATGATATAATTGTTTGCTAACAGCTTGTGCGGATGGGGTGATCAGAATATTTAAGTTGGATGATGCTTCAAGCAAAAGTTTCAAGTATGAATTTTGATATGTAAACTTCATTAACTTCTCATGGTTTTCTTGCTTTTGGGCTCCTCAAAGTTTTGTAATTCCTCTGCAGATTCTTGAGAATTAATTTGCCTGCTGGAGGCAATCCCGTGGCAGTTGCATTTTCCGATGATGCATCATCTGTGGTTGTGGCTTCTCAAACCGTGGCTGGTGGTTGTTCCCTATACATGTATGGAGAAGAGAAGCCCAAAACCTCTGAGGGAAATAAACAGCAAAACAAGCTTCCGCTTCCCGAAATCAAGTGGGAACGTCACAAAGTCCATGACAAAAGAGCTATCCTGACTTTGTTTGGAACTGCTGCCACTTATGGCAGTGCCGATGGGAGTACAATTATCGCTTCTTGTTCAGAAGGTATCTTCTGACCTCTTATTCTACACCAGATATTGTACTCATTTGTTTCATTTTACTTTTCTTTGGCACAATTGGGGTTCTGTTAGTGTAAGAATCTTTTTACGCTGCGTTCTTCATATGTTTAATACAAGTTCTACAGCTTGATATTTTTGGTTGTTTAACTGGATTCCTATTTGAATAATTAGTGTCTTCATATCAATAATGTAAAGGTAGCAATGCAAAGGCATGAAGGGTTAGGATCAATGTGACTACTGTGAAGTGTGAGAAAAGATATAACAAGACCTGGGTTTATAATAGGCTGTGACGAAGTTGACGAAGCGGAAATAAAAGAGTAGCAAGCTTTTGAGCTAAAAACTATGAATTTTATTAAATTACTGAATGATAGTCTGAATGACTGAATAAATCATGGAGTACATAATTTATAGCTCTTTTGTTGTTTGACTTCTAATAGAACTGAAAACTAATAATTATAATAGAACTAGAACTATTTGAAAGATAAATGATAAAAAATAAACCCAAAATAAAATAAAGATAAAATAAATCCTAAATATCCTAAATCCTAAGATAAATCCTAACGTTTCCTACATCATGCTGCAACGAATTTTCGTTCACAGATGGTGAGTTACAAAATAGGAACATAAAAATATCGCATGTAGGCAAAACTACCAACCATTTAGTACTGTTTACTGATAGTTTCTACTCTAAGAGGTATGCCTGACCTGTTTCACTCTCTTTTCCTCTTCGCTTCTTAGTTTCTTGTCTACCTGATGTGCTGACCTTTGTAATCTGTCAATCTGTGTAACTGCATTGAGAAATGATGAAGAGCATATGATTTGACTGTTGATTGATAGACAAGTGAAGATCTTTAACCTTTTTATCCCAATGAAGTACAATGCAAATTCTCGTTTTTCTTTTGTGTGTGCGCCTTTAATATGGCATCATGTTTTCTTTACTTCTGATTATTTTGCTGCTTCCAGGTACGGATATTATGCTTTGGCATGGTAAAACTGGCAAGGAGGTTGGGCATGTTGACACAAACCAATTAAAAAACAACATGGCTGCTATATCACCAGATGGGCGGTTTATAGCTGCAGCAGCTTTTACTGCTGATGTGAAGGTAAAAATCATACTACGACCATGGTTACTTGCAAAAGACAATAATATCACTCCATCAGCTCGTGGTTGGCGTTTTTATTGTCGTGGTACTTCTTGCTTGCTCTATTTAAGATAGATGGTTACTTAGCCTATAGAAGTATTAGTCAGAAGAAGACGTGTACTGAAGTTATTTATGTTACTAAGTTATTAACATTTTCTTTTACTCGAGCAAAAAAATTTATTTATTTTTCCTTTTCCTTATCTGCTCTGACAGGTTTGGGAGATTGTATACTCAAAGGATGGTTCAGTCAAGGAGGTTTCAAAAGTTATGCAGCTTAAAGGGCACAAGGTTGGCTTTTCAATTACATAACATAATCAAGTCCAGTCCATTCCATAACATAACATCTCTTTTATAGATTCTAGATATTCTTATTCTTATTTTTCTTTATCCAGTTTTGTTTGGCCTGTTGTTTGACTTATGTTTGCTAAATCATGTTTTATCCAATTGTTGTTTAGAGTGCTGTGACGTGGTTATGCTTTTCCCCAAACTCGGAGCAGATCATCACAGCGTCAAAAGATGGCTCAATAAGAATTTGGAATATAAATGGTATGGTTTATCTCATAAGTTGTTACCACCTAGTCTACATTTTGTGAGAGTTGCAACTGTTTTCTATCCTACTTCTGAATCTGCATAGTTGTGTCCCCCTTCACTCTATGTGTGTGTGTGTGTGCGCGCGCGCGCGTGCGCGTGCGCGTGTGTGTGCGTGCGTGCGCACGCGCACTTGTGTGTGTGTAACAAAAAATATAAAATTGTAAAGAATCTTTCTTTTCACCTCAGGTTTTTGGTAACTTAGAGTTTTGAAGTCTCACACACTGATATGACACAAAAGCAACACAACAAAAAAATTAAAATTGTTAAGAATTTTTCTTTTCACCTCAGGTTTTAGGTAACTTAAGTGTCTGAGTTACGAGCTAATTCATCTTACTGCTAATGGGAACTATTTAAATTTGTCCTTAATTTTGGAGTTTGTTCATTTGTCCTGATTAATTTCTTTTTTGTATCTGTCCTCTTAAAGTCCGGTATCATTTGGATGAGGATACAAAAACACTGAAGGTGTTTCCAATTCCACTTCATGATTCAAATGGGGTTACTTTGAACTATGATCGTCTTAGCATATCTCCTGATGGAAGAATATTGGCTGCAACACATGGTACAACATTGCAGTGGTTATGTGTTGAAACTGGGAAAGTTTTAGAGACAGCTGAGAAGGCCCATGACGGTATGCTGCAATGATGAAACAGTTTCAAAGTAGAAAATAACTTGGCCACTTGTGTTTATGTTATCTCTTCTTTTATGTGAAACACTTTCTAGATTTCTCTTAGCTTTGGATGATCAACCACCGAACCATTTTTCTGAATCTTTGCTACATTTCTTGATGCAGGTGACATCACTTGCATTTCATGGGCACCTAAGGACATTCCAACAGGTAATCTCTATACACCTATTTTGTTCAATTATGTTCTCATCGTGTGTTTTGGAGAGGGGCAGGGGCTAAGATTTGAACTCAAAAACTAAACCACCTCTTGAGAAGATTCATTTGCTCGCTTGTTGAGATTCGTCCCACATTTCATGTTTGATGTCTTTTGTCTAGGCGTCTGACTAAATGCATGATAAGATTCCTCCCAGAAGAACAGCCCATGCCTCCATGTCTGACTCAAAACCACCTACTATAAGTTGCTAAGAGTAATTATTTATGGAAGTGTGTTTCAATTTTACTGTGTTTAGCGGAATTAGTAGCAGCGAATTTTATCGACAAACTTGCCAAAGGGAATAAACTTCTGTAATGCATGCAATTCAATTTGGATGGTCCTGGTACTTGTAAATTGTAATGCATGATCTTCAGACTGCTCAAGAATACCATGGCAAGATTTGGGATAGAAGTTGCCTGTGGTTGGAAACTTGAACGTATTTAGAGTCGGTCCTAGATTGATATCTTGTATTTCATGTGCAATATTATCATATAACTCTCTCACTTTTTCCTACAGGTAATAGGCAACTGCTGCTTTTAGCCACAGCGGGCGTCGACAAGAAGGTAAAGCTGTGGGCAGCTCCATCACTCCCTTTATCGTAAAGCAATCCTATGAGTTCGTGCAAATAGGAGCTTTGACATGAAAGAGCTCCAGATCTCGACGGTGTTGTGAATTAACGTTGAAGATGCTACACGCGTTCTTACCTTTGTTCCTTATAAGTTAAAGGGCTCTAACAAATTCATGGAAGTTCCGTATGCCATTAGAGGCAGAAGCTTGAAACGCATTACACTAGGTTCAAATGAGAAAACAACTCTGTTTTACTTGGATAGCCCAATTTTTCTGGGATTTTGGTGACTAAACATCTTATACTGAGTTGGATGGAGAGTGGTTGGTTTACATTATTAGTGTGTTAATTTTTTTTTTTTTTTTTGACAGTGTAATGTAGATTTTCAGTTCATGCGAGAGTAGACTTGGTTATGAGGGAAACAGTGGGTGCCTTTAAGAATATATATTTTTTTTGTAATTATTGCAGCCAAATCACCTGGACGTAGAAGATATTGACTGAAAATGTTGCCCCCTCCAACTAGTATTAAACATTAAACTAATTAGATAAAAGATGGTGATTCAACAATGTTTGATACAAATCCAAATACAATATTGTTGATGTTATATACCCAGGACAGAGGAGAGGAGGCAAGGCAACGCAAGGCTGCACTTGCACACAATTCATAGCTACGTCGTTTTGATATAGTACCATTGATGTGACTTCCTTTTTTCTTTTAATTCGTTCGTCATCTTCTCCTTCATCTGGCCATAATATCCATAACTAGTACTGAAACTTTAGACGGGCCGTCCGCAACTACCGAAAAGTTTAAATTTTTACCCGATTACTGAGCCCGAACTGCTTGAATTTTCGGGCTGCCCGATCCGACCCGAAAATCTCCTTGGACGGAGTGGGTGACGTGGAACTCGATTTGAGATTAATAAAGCAGATTCCCAACCGGGTCCTACACTTAACTGCATTAAAATATAAATAAACGACATAATCCATGAGCCTCTGACACACAGGGCTCCACCCCACAGGACATACAGTATCGTACATACATGCACATGTAAATAATCAATTACAACAGACATCATCCACAGTCTAGTAAATCCAAATATCATTTATTACAAATTCTTACATATTCCTTACACTTTATGTCAGAGGATGAACACAATCCTCACTTGATCGTTCCGTAGCACCACTCAGCTACTCCCGCTACTGTGCCCCGCTCCTAGAGTCTCCTGGGAGGGGTTTTAAACATTTGAAACATAAAACGTGAGCGAAAGGCCCAGTAGGATATAATTTGAAATATTTAAAATAAACGAATAAATAAATGAATAAGCAAGTAAACAAGACATTCAGTCCCGACAGAACAGCCGGAACCTCACATCTTTTTTCTCAAAGGAAATATAACTGAAAATAACCATATTACAGGCTTCAGCAAGTAATTAGTACAAATTACTCACCTCACCAAGTGCCTCGCCTACCCGGACCGGTTTCGGGTTCTGCCCCCGACGATGCACTCTCTGCATCCTATCTAGGCTTACAGTAATAGACTCTATTACCAGTTTACAAGACCTATTATCTTAAGAAATCATCCATTTAACATTATGAAATCATTCATACTATGGATTCCATGGACAGGACAAGCCAAGGATTTCCATAAACTAACAAGCCATGGTTTTTAAAACATTTTTCTTTCGCAAACTAATCCCTTTTTTTAAAACACTTTCAAGGCCAAAATCTTTTTTGAAAACAGGCTCACAAGGAAAAGGAATAGAAATCCTACCGCGCACAATCAAACCTGGGACTAGCGTTGCCCTTTTCCGGCTTCCGCTTCCTCAAGCCCCTTCAGTCTGAATCCACAGCGGGCACTGATACAAAACGACACTTTAGGATCAATTCTCAGTCCTAAAGTAATCAAATCTCAATCATATACCAAGATTTCCTATTAGTGTGCCCTAATCAAATTTCATGTTTCAATAATCAATTCCAAGGGTTTTCAATCTCAAACAAGGATTAAAGATGCTAATCCTTTTATCCCAAGTCCCCAAATGAAGCTAATTTGGGTTTTCCCCGAAAACAGGGGTCAAAACAACAATTTCAGGCCAAACAGGGTAAAACCCCGTGTACACCGGTCGACCGGTGACAGAGAAGT